CGGGAGCGCCTCCGTGCTCCCAAGCGGCGCACTCTCCAGTGCGCCACCGGGCCGGCCCTAAATTTTTTTTTTTTTCATTAGAAAAGAAAGCCTTACTCTTGTGTCAGGTCAAAATGTCCGTAAGTAAAATGTATTCTACTACACTCTAATTCACAGCCTAGAGATAACACCTGACCCTGTTTTTACAATGTGATGTCCAGAATCCATGTCTCCACTGCCCACCTGGCTAGAGAATGCTGGGCTACCAAGTGGATGCCTTGATCCCCAAACATGCAGTCATGGGGCTCCTGAGTCTGGTAAAGCATCCCATCTAGGATTAAATCTATCTACAATGGGAGAAAGGCAGGAACAGAAGAGCTACCGCCAGCTCTCCACACCCTGGCATGAAGCAATGGCATTTGTTTTTGAGGGAATACCATTTTTAGAAGAATGCTAAGACCATACTTCCCCTATTTTTTCCATAGGGCCGTCTTACTCTAGGTGGCAGGGCTAGGAGGGACACTGGTAACAACCAGTGCAAATGCCACATTCACAGGTAAAGAGACCAGGTCCACAGAGGGAAAGGGACCTGTCCAGGTCACACAGCAAGTTAAGGTCAGGCAGAGGAGAGCCGGGACCCTCCTCCTCCTCCTACAACACACACTAAGTCACAGAGCACCCACTAATCAGTCATAGACACCTGAAGTGAAGAGTCACAGTTGTCGCACACCTCATTTTTTTTTTTTTTAAAAAAGATGACCAGTAAGGGGATCTTAACCCTTGACTTGGTGTTGTNCATCCCTATATAGGATCCGAACCCATGGTCTTGGTGTTATCAGCACCGTACTCTACCGAGTGAGCCACGAGCCAGCCTGCACACCTCGTTTTGAGCCCTTCAGAATTACAAACATACCATTATGTGATCTTCCTGGGAGGGAGTAGTTCAAAAAAAGAATTCCCATGCAGCCATTCATTTAAAAAGTATTATAAAACCACATGCATATCTGTTTTCCCAGTGTTGGCCCTGCTAGAAGCTACATCTGCATACGAATCTAGTTTGCATCCAACTTTTAAAAACATACAAAAGGGGTCACCTACAAACACAGTTTTTCCAACTCTTCACAAAGCAAAACGATCCATTATTTGACTTTTCTGTCATTCCATGATCCATGCTTCTGAGACCCTAGGAAGGAAAGGGCGGGGAGGGAAATTAGAGAAAAGAAGCCTTTTCTGTCACAACCAAGTATGTTAAATGGAAGGGGGTGAGGAACGATTCTTAACTTCAAATCCTTCCCTGGCAAGGAATGGTGCCCATGGAGAGTGGAGGGGTCTTGTGGGGGCCCCAGAACTATGCTTAAGACCAATGGCTGGCCGTTTCAGAGAGGCAGACTCCAGCTCAGTACTGTACTCCTATGAGGAAGAACTCTTTAACCACTGGAAAATCCAGAGATGATTGTCTGGTGGTGGTGAGCTCTGTGTCCCCAGAGGAACGCAAGCAGGAGCTGCCAGGACTACGTGTTGCAGCGGGAAGTCAAGACCAGCGCAGCAGTGACGGCTTCACATTCCATGGAACTTCATGGCTTTCTTTTGAAAAATCATCTACCATAAACTGTATTCTCACCCCAGAATAATTTCCATCTTAAAAATATATGTATTTAAAAATTAGAGATATATATTTAAAACATGAAAGATATTATGTATCTATTAAAACAAAAATGTCAAGCATCAGAAAGACAACTTTAAGACCCGATCTGCCAACTCTTCGGTGAATTCCTATCTGATGGTTTCACACTTTCATACTTTTTTCCCCACTTCTAGGACCTCTAACTACTTACATACACACATCCTTCAACCCCAATGCCACTTTCTCAGTGATGTCTTCCTTTCCTCAGTTCTAAGCTGCTTCTCCCACTTCAAACCCACACCCCCTTCTTCCCTTAGCACTGCACTCCTTGTACCATAATGACGTCCCCTTTCGTTCTTTTGTGCAGCCCCTGCAGCCCTCTTGTGGGGCCTTGCACACGGAAGATGTGTAACCATAGTGGCTAAGAGAATATGATTAAAACAAAAATCTTTGTTGCTTTTTTTTTTTTTTGCTTTTTTTTATGATTAAAGCAAAATCTTTCTGCTTTTAAGAAACTCTGTCAGACGGGTTTCTAATTTTTCCTGCTCTATTAAAAACTTGTTGGATGGCCTTGGTGATGGTGCCTGTTGACAACTGCCACTCCTGTTCCTGTAAGAGGACCGTGCATCCCTGCCCTTTGCCTCTGCTGACAGGAATGTCCACCTCCCACTCCATTTACACTGGGTGTGTCCGTGTGACTTGCTTTGGCCCATGGACTATGGGCAGACGTGACATATGTCACATCTAAGCAGAAACTTTAAGTGAGATTGTATGCTCGGCTCAGCCCTTGCCTGTCCCTTCTGCCACAAGAGTGGACACATTCCACACTGGAGCTGCTCCTCTAGTTAGTCTTAAATGAGATGACATGTGGAATGAGCCACAGCCTACCCGTAGCTGTGACATGGGCCATGAGCAAGAGATAAATGTTTGTGGCTGTGAACCAGCAAGGTTTGGGGGTTGTTATGCAGCAAAAACTGGCTAATGAAGTGATTCATTTCCTGAGTTCACAGTCCAGCTGTAGACAGGGGATCAATGCAGCCCCAGCTGTCACCTGTGGGGCTATGTGGACCTAGAATGTTTGGCTAGAGGAGATGCAAAGATTCTCTCTGCCACCCATCCCTCTGGAGATGTGTGGCTAGCAGCACACAATGCTGAGGGCAGGAAGGCAAGACCTGGAGACAGCAGAGCTGCCCCACAAGGAAGAGCCCTGAGAACAGACAAAGGAAGCTCAGCCGCCTTCTCTGCCAGAATGTTTCCACGTAGACACTGTCACAGTGACACCATCTTCTGTCTCTCAGGACCCCTCCAGCCTCAGAAACAGAAAAGCATGTCTTTTCATCCTACAGACACCCGTCACGTTCACAGCTCTTGACTCTGCACGCTAGGAAGCTCAGAGCGAATGTGTGCAGAACATACCAGAGACCCTACCTGCTTTTCTTAACATGTACCCGCTCCCCTTTGCTTTCTCGGTGGTTGTCTCCATTTATGTATTTTACTTCTGTCTTATTACACATCTTATAAGCCACTTCAAATCTCTTGTGACACGGGTGTAGAAATACTGAAAATGACTTAAAACACATACATTACTCCATCACATGTGGTCATCTGGAGCTGGGAAGCGGCGGCTTTTGTATTTACTCAGCTCTAGCACCGTCGCTGTGCCGTGGGCCTGGGCCTCCCCCACCGTGTTGGCCGCATGGCACTGGTACACTCCCTCATCCTCCTTTCTCAGGGGGTTGATCTAGAAATACAACAGGCGAGTCTATGTAGTTATATACAGCCCAGCAAAATGATTTCCTTAAGTAGTTCTTCATGATGAGTCTGAACGCTTAGTCCTTATTCCTTTTTGAAATAAGATAGAACTCGCCCTGTTTCTCTTTTTTCCTTGGCTGCCAAGGAGCAGAGTTAAATTTCCTTCTCAGTGACCCTCCTGGAGGTTACCCTCCCTACTGCGGTTCTCTTTTAATGCTGCTTCTGCATTTCTGCCTTTTATTGTAAGCCATTTGGTCCTTTTGTTGAATGTGACAGGTTATAGATTACATGGAAAATACTACAAATTAAAAGAAAGAAATCTGCTGACCAAGGAATGCCCCACAAAGTGCTCCCCACGGAGGCAGCCTCTACAAAATGCCACCAGAGATAACCTTTCCTCCCTATCTTTTCTTGTAAGAAAGTGAGGGAATGTACTTGATTTGAAAAAGCCACAGACTCAGCTGCACGCCAAGTCTCAGCTGGGTGGAGAAGTCACCAAACTTCCCACCAGAGCTGTGGGTGAACGAGGAAAACATCCTCAGAGAGCATCCTGTGGGTGCTTGCAACCAGATCCACCCCAGCTCTCTTCTCTGCTTTCTCTTGTTGTAACCTCCTCTCTCAGCTGGGAACCACTCCCTAGACCATGGAGAGGGTTACGCACACCATCTTATTTTGAACTCATGCTAACTGTAGGTGAAGGGTGAGTCTACAGGAGACTCACAAGTAAGTCATAGACTGCTAGGGTCACAAGGGTCCTCAGAAGTTATTCAGTTCGGAGCCCTCTTTTTACAACGGTGGAAACTGAGGCTCAGAGAGGTACAGTGACTAGCCTAACATGGGCCCCATCTCCTCATTCCATCACTCTTTTAAACACAGGGCATTCTCTTATCTTAGCAAACATGCTGCAAGTGGCATAAAAGAGTCCTGGAGGAGGACTCAAATGTGCCATCTTCCCTCTTTATCAGCCATTTGGTCTTAGGCAGGTGTATTAGTTTCCTATTGTTGCTGTAAAAAAATACCACAAGCTTAGTGGCTTAAAACAACACAAATTTAAAAACAAAACAAAACAAAACGCAAATTAAAAAAAAAACACACAAATTTGTTATTGACAGTTCTGGAGCTCAGAAGACCAAATGGGGGCTGGCCCGGTGGCACACTGGAGAGTGCGCCACTTGGGAGTGCGGCAGCGCTCCCGCTGAGGGTTCGGATCCCATGTGGAGACCGGTTCCCGCTCACTGGCTGAGCGAGGAGCGGGCGGGGGCAACACCGAGGGTTGCGATCCCGTTACCGGTAAGTAAAAAAGACAAAAAGGAAAAAAAAAAAAAGAAGACCAAATGGGTCTCAATGGGCTAAAATCAAGGTATCAGCGGGGCTGCTTTCCTTTTGAAGGCTCTAGAGGAGAATGTACTTTCTTGCCTCTTCAAGCTTCTAGAGGACACTGGCATGCCTGGCTTGTGGCTCCTTCCTTTATCTGCAAAGCCAGCAATGGTGGGTTGAGTCCTTCTCACACTGCATTACTCTGCCTCTGCCTACTCTGCCTACTCTGCCTCCCTCTTCCACATTTAAAAACCACACCTTTACCCTGGGCCTACCTGGATTATCTAGAATAATCTCCTTATCTTTTTTTTTTTTTTTGTCTTTTTTTTCGTGACCGGCAACGGATCGCAACCCTCAGTGT